AAGTTGAGCTTCCTGGATTCATTGAGACTCTGGTGGGGAAACAAGTGTATTCAGTGTTTGGAGTGGCCAGTGCTCCCAGTGACCATTTGGTTCCCTTCAGCCAGCTGATTCACACTGACCACACGGTCATTTAGTTCCCATCAGTCAAGCTGGGTCATGCTCACTGCCGTGAATGTTTGGTTTCCCTCAGCCCCAGCTGGGTCACACTTGCCTCCAGTATGCCTCCAATGCTGAATAGGTATCCAGGCAGCAACAACAAAGCAGAACCACTAAAAGGGTATTTTTAAATTTGATATTTGCTATTAAAAAAGGAGTAGATGAGTTTCAAAGGAATCATCATGAAACAGTTATAATGTTACTGGACATTTTTAATACTTATTTTGCACTTTTTTTCAATATAAAAATTAAAAAAAAAAATCAGCGCTTACAGAAGTTACAAGAGTAGCATAAGAAACCTCAGCATAGCCTTCACCTGGGGTCCTAGTGGTGAACATTTTGCTGCATTTGCTTTCTCTGCACACTTCTCTCCACGTACACTTCTCCCCACCCCCTCCTATTTATGTATAAAACATACATACATGTAATTATATATATATATATATACACACACACACACACACACACCCAAGGAGCTCTGGTAGCGTAGTGGTTACGAATTGGGTTGCTAATCTCAAGGTCAGCAGTTCTGCAGGAGAAAGATAAGACTTTCTGCTCCTGTAAAGATTTACAGCCTTAGAAACCCTATGCAGGGTCGCTGTGAGTCGGAACCGACTCTACGACACATAACAACAACATACATATACCTGCTGCCATTGATTCGATTCCAACTCATAGTGACCCTATATAGGTTTTCTAAAACTATAAATCTTTACAGGGGCAGCCTCATCTTTCTCCTGTGGAGCACCTGGTGGGTTTGAACCTCCAACCTCCTTGTGGTTAGCAGTCCAACACCTAACCCACAGTGCCACTGGAGTTTCTTAATTATCGATTATTATAGTGGTTATTTTGCTGACCCACTTGAGAATAAATTGAAGACATTATGAGTGTTTTTTCCTAACTCTGTGTTAACAGGGGGTAAGGGTAGGGCTTTTGAGATCATATTCTGTACCAGTTTTTAGGGTTTTGTCTGCTGGTCCTTTCCTGGGGTATCCTCCATTCATTATAAGACTGTTTGGGGTGCTTAGGCATATTGTTGGAAACATGGCATGGAGGCCACGTCTGCTTTCCTCTGGCTTCACAAAGGAAAGGAGAATCAAACTCATCAGCTCCAAGCTGATTCCTGTGAGACTGAAGTTAGACATACCTCCGTCCTCCAAGCTTCTTTACCCTATTCTGACACCAGCCATCCCTCCACGGTCACTCGACTGTTCTTCTGGGTGATAATGCATTGCAATGGCCACACGTAACTCACAGCGTGTACTCACCGAGTTTAGAGTTGATGAGGGAAATTCACAGGATATAACTCAGGCGCGCCTCTTCTCAGCCTCGCTGTAGGCATGTCTCTCTCTTATTCTTGACCTCTCTGCCTTGCTGGGCTAAGTGCTCCTTTATAGCACTGCTGGTACTGCTCAGAGGGCACCTAATTTTGCAAGCCAGACACTCATCTTTTCTATTTCCGGGGGTTGGGAGGCCCACTTCTCTGTCTCTGCTCGCTGCCGCTGTCTTTTCCAGTAGGGACCTCGTGCTTGTGGCTCTCCTTTCCTGATGGTCTTGAGACCCTCTGTCCCTGCTTCTGTTGCTGTTGTTGGTAAGTGCCTTTGAGTCGATTCCAACTCATAGTGACCCTGTGTAGGGTTTCCAAGGAGGGGCTGGTGAATTTGAACCACTGACCTTGTGGTCCAGTGCATTAGCGCACAGTGCCACACCAGGACTCCGCCTGCCTTTGAGATGACTCCTTTTAGACCTAGCGGTGGTGGTTGGTGATTATGTGCTGTGGAGTTGGTTCCGACTCATATCGACTCTGTATATGGCTTCTGAGGCTGTAAATGTTACAGGAGCAGAAAGCCTCATTTTTCTACCTCGGAACATTTGGTAGTTTTGAACTGCTGACCCTGAGGCTAGTAGCCTGATTCGTAACTATTACACTGCCAGAGCTCCTTTAGACCTAACAGGATGGCAAAACTAACGAATTCCTGTGTTAAAACCCTGTACACCCTATTTGTACAAAGTTACAAAGGCTACGGACTTCTGATGTGGTGCTGTAGGATCAGCACTGGACTGCGAACCACAAGGCCAACACTTTAAACCCACCAGCAGCTTCTTGGAAACCCTTAACAGGGTTGCTGTGAGTCAGAACCGACTCGACAGCACTTAACAACAATGTCACCACCATAAAGACTGTGGTAGAAGAGCCATAATTCACTGCTCCACAACTGTGTTCATTTGACTTGTAAATATAAAAGACAATAGCAAGTCACACAGTTGATGTATTTCATGATATGGACATGGGATACAAAGAGAGGTTTCCATTTTCAAGGACATATAACGTTATTAGGTAGATCCTTTTTCTTCCATACAAAAATCACCGTGTCTGTACGCATTACCAGCTTTAATGCAATACCTTGGCCCTTTGACTAGAGATAAAGATCCTCAATTAAAACTACAAATCAAACCACTGCCTTAGCACCAGGGGGCAGAGTCGGGCTTGCTGAGACTCGAGAGTGGGAAATTTTCTTACTGGCCCAATGTTCCATATTTGCGCTTTTATCACTTCACTCCTGATAGAAACGTGCTCACTGCTGATGTTGGTAATTAACTGATCCTGATTTGTTGGCATCGTTAAGTCCCCGGATTAAGTCCCCGGCTGCTGTGCAGGCCCTCTTCCAGAGCTGTGCATGCATCCACTCTTTCCCCAGTGACAGCAGGGTAGAGCCCGACTCTCTGCCTCATCAGGGTGTGCTGGCAAGATCTCTAGGGACCAGTGTCTTGTTTTCCTTTTAGCATACTCCACATTACAAATAAAATACCTCTGTGTCATATCACGAATTTATATAAGACTGCGTCAACTGCAGAGTATTTATATAACATTACTGGATTAAGGGACCAGGGGGAGTCGATAGGATGCTAATACCTAGTTATCACTAGGTAGGAACCGGTTCTGCAAAGTAGTTTAAATTGCCTGGCCAAGCCAAACTAGAGTTGGTTGCATTAGGACAAGGATTATAAAGAGATTATGGCCTGTTTAGAATAAATCTCCCATCTCTCTCTAGCCTCATTAGCAATGAACGAGGAAGTGTGAAGACAGGGATATCTTTCTCTTCACTTGGTTCTGCATTGCATTCTAAGAGATTAAGGCCAAGGAGGCTTTCTGTCCTTACCGCCAGAAGTCTGCTGCATTTGCTGCTTTGCAGTGGGCCAGCTGCTTTGACTTTGCAGTGCTTACCTCTTAGAATCTATTGGGTACTTCAGGATGCCTCCTTCTCTTAAGTCCGTAGATCTAGAATGCTTTCTGACAGTTATTTTTAAACGGTCATCTCTTTCCTCTTCCATATTATTAATAAGTAGACCTTTGGCCTTTTAGATCTGGAAAATTAGATCCATTTCTGTTGCTGGCAAGGTGGATGACAGCGTGGCCCTTGACTCTTTGGTGGGTTCTAAGATCATGTGAGAGCAGACATGCTTTGAGACTGCCTTGGAAACCGAGGGTACCAGTCCATCCTTTGAGAATGAAACATCTTAGGAAAGGAAAGTGCTTTCGTGTTGCATTTAAGGAAGTCTGGCCCCTAAGAGTCTCCCTCTTTTCCATTGTCCATGGCAGCACTCTTGGCATATACCTTGCTTCTGAGGGTCTTGGCTGCCTTTCATCTGCTGCTTTTCAGAGTAGCCCTGTGAAGCCATCGGCCATGGTCTCTAATCAGCTTCATTATGCGACAGCCTCGCTTGCTCACTCTCTCCCTCTTGGATGTCAGGATTCACATAATCCCTATCACCCAGTGTTTTATTTGCCTGGGCAAAGCTAAGCATTGATAGAACTATCAGGGAGGTCACTTAGGATTGACTTTCTGTCACATCGCAAGAAGGCAAGCTCAATGCAGATTTGATTTGGTAAAACCCTGTCTCATGTACCTTTATGCTTGTGCAACTTTATGAGAATCCAGAGGCTGGAAGAAAGAAAATGGCCTAATATTAAAGAAGGGCTAAATGCGGACTTAAAGAAACACTGTCGATCCGATTAAAAACAAAGGTCTGATCACAACATTTAATTACTGTGATTGAGCAGTAAACATCCTTGGCTCCAAGTCTTTTTCCTGAAAAGCTGCCCTTTTGTTTGTCCAGATACTTAAAGTGATAAGTCTTTGTTTTCCCAGACCTTGAGTGTCTTCTCAACCACTTAGAAGGATGTTGTCAGACAGCTTGAAGCTCACAGACAGGAACTGCCCAATTTCCCATGATCCTGGCATGTTGGACATCTCCGAAGACTGAGGCGTAACCGCGGTAGCTGCAGCGTGCTCGCTGCTTGGCACAGCACCTGCAATCAATTAGGGAAGCTTCAATTAGCCAAACCAAAGCCACCCACCCAAAGATTAATTTTCTGCTCTATTTCCTATCAAAAACATAGCATATTTAGTTCTGAGTCTCATTCTGTGGAGTGCATTTTAGACATATAAACGACATCGTTTCCTTGTTAATTGTCCTTGTTCCTTCAATTCAGCAGCTTTCCCTCGTACTCTCACGCCCACCAGTTCTTTCAAAATTGTTTCTTTCAAAATTGTTCTTTTTCTGTTTTGTTGCCTTTCTGAAATGCTGAGAATACAGAGAAAAGTTGTTAGAAGGGAAGCTTTCCTTTTGAAGTATGGCTTGCTGTCTTTTATTGAAAACATCCAATATCACCTTACATGATTTTGTTTCCACAACTTAAAAACTTGTAAATTCTGGTGTCTCTGAATTTAACAGCCTTGTAAGTGTTTTCTAATTATCCCATGCCACTGTCCCATGTAAATGCAAAGGTACTCTCCCCACTCTCTGCCCCCTCTGAAGTCATTTTTCTGTTTCTCTCTCAGAGAAAGAACAAGCTGTAAATCGGGCTGGTATTGTTCAAGCGGATGTGCAGCCACCAGGTAAAGTTAAAGGGGGAAAAAAAAAAGAACCCAAACACCATCTCATTTACTGGGGTGTGTGTGTGTGTGTGTGTGTGTGTGTGTGTGTGCACGCGTGTGCTTGGCTTTGCTGTGGTGATGAGGACGTTTTTAGCCTACAGAATAGATCCCAATTCATTTTTCTCGCAGCAGCTACCCTTTCCAAGTGCCACCCCAAGACTCCATTTCGGTACTTCACTCCAGAATAGCATTGGCAAATTTGCCACATTCCTCTTTTGCATTTGATAAGTGGGCATAAAAATGTAACAAGTGTACAATTAAATATGAAGCTTGACTAGCTGTTTTGCAGACTTCCTTACAGAACACCTATTTAAACGCTACCACCCTCCTGGGAAAATACTGTTGACGTGTGAGCTGCTGTAATTGGCGAGGGTTCTGCTTTATATGGAAGCTCAGGCATATACTCCCCTACTACTCAGTGCCTAGTTACTTTATGGTGATCCAAGCTGACCAAGAATGTGAGATTTCCAGCGTATTAACCAAAACTCTTCTAGGCTGTGGTAACGTCATTTTCGTTTTTCTTTTAACTGGGCTAGATACATACCTCCCTGTTGTGGAGTCATTTCTAAGCCATTTAAAGTCCTCAGGGACTGACTCGCCTTCCCAGTCTTTTGGTCCAGGGCTGACTGCTTGCCTGCACTCTCTCAAATGACACACAAATAACACACCTTAATGCTAATGGCGTTTTGTTGGTTGGAGGGAAGCGGTCTGGAGACTACAGATGAATCCTGTTTTGATTTATGCCTCTTTTCATAGGGTTAAAAGTGTGGTCAGATCCGTTTGGCAGGAAATGAGACGACCACACAGCCACTCTGATTATGAAAGTGTAGACATCTTCGTGCTTTTGATTCTGGAGCAAATATAAATCCCGTCCCTGTTGTTCCCCGACTGGCGAAGCAAACTCTGTAATGCTGTGAACTGGAGGAGTTGTGATAGAGACTATGCCGGAAGGTTCCCACTCCCCTTGTTAAGAAGCCACAGAACGCTGGAACAAATCTCGCCATTAGGAAAGTTTTGATAATTTGGTCGACTTTCCCCTAAATGAAGCTGTCTCACCCAGCTGTGTTTGGAGCAGATCTGCTTAGTATTCCGTCTGTACCACTTACAACTGTGCTAGGAATCCAAGCCACCTGTGGACTTGAAGCCATCCAAGGCTGTTTTGCCATCTTCCAAATAAGAGACTGCAGTGAAAATCCACCATGTGGAGCTGCCTCATCGTGCGCCTTTGAAAATGTTAAAGTTGATAAAACTCTTTGAGGACAAGAAGATATTTAGTGCTCTTGAAGAAGAGACAGCCCCGTTTCACCGTCTCTTGTTGAAGATGGCGTCATGTGGGAAGAGAAAGAAAACAGAAGCGGCTTCCACAAAATCAGCATGCATGCATAGGAGAAACAGGTGCTGAGTCAATACAAGTGAAAATCTGTGGATTAAAATCGTTTATGGTTACTTCACAGTGGTGGTCAGGCTAATTTTTTTGGTATGTCCTTCTTGAATTAAGTTATATCAAGAAATAATATTTGACCAGAGGATACATGACAAGATGATATTTGACTGAATATTTGTGTGGTGTTCAGCCGTTGGTATACAAATTTAAAAAATTAAAGATAAATAGCAAACTTGTTTAACGTTGGTCCAATGCCAGTTTTCTACTGGGTGTTGCAAAGATTCGTTTGAAAAGGTACCATACCAAGTGTTGCAAAGGTGCCGGGGACAGACTTTTTTCCTTCTCTCTGTTACTCTGGCCAGCCCCTTTCTAGATAACATGGTTCGAAGAAACATCTTTTTCATTTCTCTGTCTGCCACAGTGCCGTCACATTACTAAAGGGTCTCTTTGGATGGGCTGCCTGCTAACATAATCTTACTATTGTGCAGTGGGAGTTTTCTTCACTGTGATTACTGTCAAAAAGAAAGATTGATCATTCCCGAGTCAAAGTCATTATTTTGGGTTGTTGTTGTTAGTTGCCGCCGAGTCAGTTCCAACTCATAGCGACATTATACACAACAGAAGGATGCACTGCCCAGTCCTGCACCAACCTCACAGTCATTGCTACACTTGAGTCCATTGCTGCTGACACTGTGCCCATCATTTCATTGGGGTATCTTCTTTTTCGCTGACCCTCCACTATACCAAGCATGGTGTCCTTCTCCAGGGATTGGTCCCTCCTGACAACATGTCCAAAGTGTGAGAGATGAAGTCTGGCCACCCTGGCTTCTAAGGAGCATTCTGGCTGGACTTTGTCCAACACATGTATGTCTGTTCTTCTGATACATTTTAATATTCTCCTCTAACACCATAACTTAAATGCATCAATTCTTCTACAGTCTTCTTTATTCATTGTCTAACACATGCAGATAAGGTTATTGAAAATCATTTTGGGTTATTGTTGTTAACTGCCGTCGAGTCAATTCTAACTCATAGCTACCCTGCTTAGTGTTTCCGAAGAGCTGCTGGTGGAATTGAACTGCTGACCTTTCAGTTCAAACCTTGTGGTCCATTGCTTATCCTAAAACGCCACACCAGGACGTCTTGTTTTGGTTAGGCATCCCTTAACATTTCATTGAGTTATATAATATATAATTAACTGCCCAATAAAGGAAACAGACTCATGCGGGGTACAGTTGACCACTGTATTCCTTGGAGAGGGGTGTTAGGAAGTTATACAGTATAAAACCCAGGATCCTGAAGGTGCTTAATCGCAATGGATTTATGACTGAGGAGAAGACATAAAACCATCTGCCTTGTGTCTGAGTCCTGTGAAGGTGAGCTTTGGGGCTTCAATTGGCTGTTGGTCTTGAGTGGAGCAAATCTATGTTTGTCTCCTGAGTGGAATCTTTGCCCTGGCCTTGCCTGTGTCCACCTCCACACAAGATAAACGAGCTGACGTCTGCTCAGGTGGCTCGTCGTGTTGTCAGAGATACGCATAGAACGCCACATTCTCCTCTGACCCACACTTGATTAAAGCTGGGTGCTGAGAGATGTTGATGTGGACTGTTGGTGAGAAGGTCACCACCCAGTCTGATTATGAAAGTTGGCATCTTTGTGCATTTGATTCTGGAATAATTATGAATCATTCCCGGGGTACTCTGGCTGGCTTTGCCGTTCATAACACACGTTTCCAAAGTTGAGGCCCTGGGATAATAGAAGCACTTGGAAGCAGGGATCTTAAATGCATTTAGGAAACTTAGAGATAAAGTTAATTAAGCAAGTGGTTAACGCACTCAGCTGCTAATTGAAAAGGTGGGTGATTCGAGTCTACCCAGAAGCACTTCAGAAGAAAGCCCTGCTGATTTACTTCTGGAAAACTATCCATTGAAAAACCCGGTGGAGAAGCGTTTCCTCCGACACGTATGGGGTAGAATTTACTTGATGGCAACTGTTGGTCTTCAGTGTTGTGTGCTTTTGAGTTGGTTCCGACTCATAAGGACCCTGTATAGGATTTCCCAGACTGGAGCATTACAGGAGCCGAAAGCCTCATCTTTTTCCCATGGAGCAGCTGGCAGATTTGAACCACTGACCCTGCAGTTAACAGCCCAATGCTGTGACCCACTAGACCACCAGGACCTATTCTAATTTGAAAAGCTATTTATAATCTAGTCAGGGAAATGAAGTAAATTCACAAAAGAGGTTACAATAATGTATATTACAAGTACTTTAATGTGCCCTTTGGTTGTTTAAATGATTATATATTCCTCAGTGTTTTTGTGTACATTCCTCCCCACCCCACCCCCAGAAAAAAAGAGGGACTAGAAGCAAATACTGTTGAATGATGATACATGGAGGAGATTGTAATCATTGCAATGAAACAATGAGTCTAAAACCGATGTTCTCTCATGTAAACTATCACTCATGTAAAATACTTTAAGATTGTTCAAAGTGGGTCACTGACTGAAGGGATGACACATTTTAAAAATAAAAAACAATGTTGTAGTTGTTAAGTGCCATTTAGTTGGTTCTGACTCATCATGACCCTGTATAGGGTTTCCAAGGAGCAGCTAGTGGATTTGAAATGCCAACCTTGTGGTTCAAACTGACTGCGGTCTAGTGCTTTATCCCACAGTGCCATACCAGGGCTAAAAAGTGATGTTGTTAGCATGACTGGCTACTACAAGAATATCAAGCTGTTCACCGGGAAGCCATCAAGGCAAGCAATCAAGTTCCTTCAGAACAAACCCCCCTCTAAGACTGAAACTCAAAGGGAACACATGAGCAGGCATGTAAGCTTGCTGATGACCACATTGGTCTACTAGTGAGTGGAAGAGGAGGAAAGGCACTAATGAAGAATTGGGCTGGGTTCAACCGTGGTCCATTGACTCCCATTGACCTGGAGATGAGAGAGAGAAGAGGAAGGGCTGGTTGGCCCAAAGTGTGGTGAGACCTGGGGACACTTGAGCCCATGGGCAAGGACGAAGCCACAGAGGGCTAGAGCTGAGAGTGAAGCATCAGCTGATATGAAGTGAGGGGAGATGCATAAGAACACTCAAACTTGCAGATAGTACCCATTTGGCTTAGCCTCGATGGCTTGATAATCAGAACTCTACTAGGGGAAGATTTATTAAAATAAAAAAAAAAAAAAGGTTTTTTTTTGGATAAAGGAAACAAGGGTAAATTGCTACAATTTGATGAACCTGACCTATACTCATGGAGGTAGTAACTTTATATACCAACAGAGAGGGAAGAAGTCTTAACATCAAGTATCAATGCTATCCCCACTGTACATAGGGTAGATAGGGATGGGCAACTTAGACATTGTTGTTGTTGTCAGATGCCATTGAGTCAGAACCGACTCATAGCGACTCCATGCACAGCAGAAAGAAACAATGTCCAATCCTTGGCCAACCTCACTACCGCTGCCACACTTGAGTCCATCAATGATGCCACCTGGCCAATCCATCTCATTAGGGGTCTTCCCCTTTTTCTC